CAAGTCAGATATGTCCAAAGATTTTCAATGGAAGGGAATGTAATAAATAATAAGCATGAATCATGAATAAATCGGAAAATGTTCTTCCGTTACACCTAATTTGACAATTTTAACCGGTTCTAAAAACGCCAATTTTTATTTAATAAAATTAAGCTTTTTTTTATTGTAACTTAGATGGAAACAAATATTTTTAAGACAAAACCACATTAAAAATATCCGTAATTGTTGTATTATTAAACTAATAGATGGAGGATAACCCCAAGTCACCCCTCTACGCACATCACTGAGAAAAGTAGATAATTTTAAGTATTTGTAAACTACTCAGTAAAGTACCTATGTGTATATTAAAAAAATTAAACATCTTGTTCAACTATCGTTTCGTAAATATCCTTTTTTTTAATTTCCATTTTTTAATTTTCCATTTTTTTTTAACGGAAACTGTGAACTTAAATGAAAACTGATAAATTTACGGCATTATGATTAAATTTAATTATTTTAAATTCGTACACTTTATATTTTCTATCAGAATTCATCACTTCAATCGAAAACGATAAGATATCTTTTTTGTGTAATTATTAATTAAGTTGGTGGGTAATTTGTTTTTTTTTTTTTGATTTTCTCTGTAATTTTTAAAAATTAAGAAAAACCGATAAAAACTTAGTAAGAACAGGCAAGTTTACGAAACTTGGTAATGGTTTCATTACCATTAAATTTTTGTTTTTTTACTGCATTTCATATTTTTAAAAACTTGAAATTTTTGAAATACTTCGGTGATTTTTGAATTATTTAAAGACATTTTTTTTTTACAAAGTTTTTATTTAGTAAGTATTGTGCGGACATAATTGTTTGACCGAATAAAAATGATTTTTTTTATAATAGTCTTACGATCAAATTTTTAAGAAAATCGTGATAATCACGGCATTTTTAATCGTGTATAAACGAACTTCACTCGGAATCGTTTTTCATTAGCGACGGTTTACAACCATTGACTACAGATGTGAATTCAAGAACCTTGTCTGTTCTACTTTTCCAACCGCATCCCCCCTACGACGGTTGTGCACCCCGTAAAAAAAAAAAAAAAAGTACACAGCTAACACAACGATATCAGTATAAACAGTATTAGCTATGCAATTTGTATATGTATTTTTCGTTTTAATCACTCTTCGGTTATTAACGTTTTAGCGATTTACACGTTTACTCGTCCGCGCATAGCCGTTCCGGCGCGCGATTTCAAATATAAATAAACGTTACGGCGTTTTATTGCCGGGGTCTTGAATAATAACGCGGGATTTCGGGAGCCAGTCGAACGGTTATACGAACATGTACGTGTACGCGCGATGAGCGTCTCCGTCGCCGGGCAATGGCAGTGCGGCTCGAAATTTATTATTATACGCGTAGTATATTAGGTATATATACACACACACACACGCATAGGGAGACGTGCGGCTGCGGAGCCGATTTCGCGGGGAAAATCGTTTTTCTTAACGATCGACGAGACACCGCCGCCGTCGTCTTGCTCGGCAGTCAACACGGCGACGGGGGGGAGTGGTAGATTAACGCGGGACGCGAACTTTGAGTATTTATAATAACGGCTAATGGCCTGTGCAGACGCCCGAACACACACACACACACACACACACACACACACACACCGTGTATTTACGGTAGTCGGTTTCGCCCCGGTCTCGTCCGCGTGGAAAATCCCGCAGTCGAACTCGAAAACGGAACGGAGCGCCGGCACCGTGTATTGGCGTCTGCAACAGCGCGGCGAAGTTCGCACAGGAATTCGATCGAAATCATGACGCGTCCATCCGCCAATAAAAATAATCGAATTCCCCGGTTTAAGCTCTTTCGGTCGAGAACCCGTTAAAAAAAAAAAAAAATGTCCAAACGTACCGGGGAATAGATGTGACGTACAACGAACACCGCGCCTACACGCATTGCGATAATCTCCACTTTCGGGAAAAATTACATTTACAAGACTGTATAGTCATATGGGGTCGCACTAGAGTCGGGCGAAACACATCGACGTTTATGGTCGATACGCCGAAGAAACTATCGGTGTTTTGTAATGTTCGTACTACAATTTTGTCTCGCGACAAAATTTATTACGCGTGTTTTTATGTTTATTGTATTTTGCGTCGAATGCGCGGTGATCGCGCATTCGATTTCCATAGCCTATTTACACGGCAACTAGATATTTAATGTGCAATAGAATTATCGGTTGGCCATACGGAATAGAATATACCTCGCAGCTATAATATCGTCTCGTTTCTTTTCTCTCCGTGGATATGACGATATGTTATCGAACACTGCTGTAAATACAATCGACTGTTTGATTGACAATGTTCGATGATGACATTTTGCATACGCGGAATCACGTGAACCGTGCAAAAGGATTCCTCGATGAACGCGTACGAGAAATCAGTGCACATCGCGGCGTTAAATTGTGTTTAACCATGTTTTCCACGGTCGATTCCTATTATTGCAGTTCTATAATACTATGTTTAGCTCAATGTGGACCTATCGTTTCAATCTCATTGCGCGTTTCACAGTTATTAGATCTATGGACAATGTCGGTTTTTTCAATTAGTGTTTTTTTTTTTAAAGCTGGTCACGCAACACCCGTACACATTTGACTATTGCGTTTCGCGGTTGTAAAATTCACCCTATATATTGAGCGGCATTAGCTAAACAACTATGGGTTTTGGCTTTCGTATGGATCTAATGTATGGGGCGGGGGAGGAGCGTATGATGCATTTGGATTGGCATATAAATCTAGTGGTCTCGACAACGTTCAACTCAAATCGCGGTTAAACCGAGTGATCGGACGAACACCTGCAGACCGAACGGAAAATTGTGTGCGCGAATTAAAAACTAAGTCCTCTCTACCCACGCGCTCCTCGACTATTTTTAATCAAAGCTGGACTCAAGTAAATATACACTATACATCACGCGGGAGTTATAAATCCCTTTTAGTGCACAGCTGTCGCAAAAATTCATGACGGGAAGGGTATATCTTATACGCGCCAAAGTTTCTGTACCGCAAACGGAAATAATCTACGGTGGAAAAATACCAAATTAACTTTGCGGTTATAATAATATGTGGGTAAAATTTGAGTCGCATTAATACCACTCGAATGATCAAACGTCAACGAGAAATAAATGTAGCTCGTCGAAAAAGTTAATAGAGGATAAAAAAAAAAAACCACATTGATTCGATTAAAAACCGTGATTACCGCTGTTTTGTTGACAGACCGATCGAAATTAATTAACAAAACAAAGCGTATGTACGGCATATATCTAACATGATTTGTTAAAAATCTTTCTTTGCGTCTTTTTAATTAATTAATGTTATTCGTTTGATTTGATGTGAAAAATGAAAATGAAGTCGTATAATTCAATTTTGTTTATCAAAAAAAAAAATTGTCTGAGCATTTTTACTGTCCTGAACAAAAATATTATATAGTACTATATGCAGTATATATTATCAAGATTTTTCGATCAGAATTATAAAAGTAAAATCAATATTAATCATTGAACTGCTTTTGATCGTGGTATGAAATTGGATAAAATACCGATTGGTAATAATTGTATGGTTTGCGTTATTCTTTCTTCGGATATAATATTATAATGAAATAATTCATACGCCTTTTCCGAGTGTTGTTAAAAACAAAAATCACCACCTATTTTAATTTTTTGAATTGTTACCAAATAAATATCATGGAAAAATAATTGTACGTAATTCAAATCGAAGGTGGTCGGATTGTGCGATTTTAAAATAACGAGATAAATGTGCTTTATATGGTTACTATCAGGGGCGTCACTAAGGGTGCAGGGGAGTCATTCACTGGGGTCCTGGCGTCACGTTTCAACAGTGAAAATGGTAAAATAGTAGTTTTATGTGGTATATCGATCCCGTTTCACAGGTTACGTTCGCTCAGCAAGGCCTAAACTAGTGTGTCAAGAGCACAAAGTATGCGGTAAAAAATTTGAAGTGTTAACTATGCAGCTTGAAATTCCGGTGTTTTTTAAAAAAAATTGTCCTTGTAAAAGGGCATTAAAGGAGTAGTGCCCTAGGGCACCAAAAAAAAAAAAAAAAAAAAAAAAGAAGAAACGTCTCCAGTTCCAATAACATTATTCAATACCTGGGCGCGAAGGATGGTTATAAATTTCAAACGGATTTCTGAGCAAGTATTTGGAATTATAACTTACTAAATGGTTGAAGTGCACGACGTAAATTTATGTAAAATTGCAAGGCAGTGTTTAACGCACGGGTATAATTCGTGAACAAAATTTAAAATTTAAAGGGGGGGATGGGAGTTTCTTATGGTTACGCCTCTAATCATTTGATTATTAAAAAGCTACACAATATTTCCGCAGCTCGGCTAAACTGTAGACATTTCTGGGTTGTGTTTATACTTAGGGAACGGTCACGGCCGTCCTCCTCAGCCGTGCAGTGTTTTAAACGACACATTTAATAACAGCCAGTCGGTTGTCGTTTAAACTCCCGCCACCACGCGCGCGCCGTACCAACATCATAACATGTTAAAAACGTGCGTTTCGTTAACGGACAATGCACCATGGGTAATATGAAAATAATTAGCAACGAAAATATTGTGGACGGCCGAATTAGATATAGCAATGATGTTATTTGCTATGCTATGTGTCACGTGATACTTTATCAAAATGTTCACTAGGTACTTATAGTCAAATATTTACCATAGTGCGCGGAATATAGATTCATTATTGTAGGTACGGTCACGTTTTTAACGACACAAATAATAATAACGTACCCAATTACATATGGTATGTTTTGTTTTTTTGTTTAACAAAAAATTATTATAGTAAATCGTGTTATTACCAGCTGCAGCGTGGTCTACATCATTATTAATATTTGGTACGCGTGACATAATTTTTTTTTTTTTTTTTGTATACATATTTACAAACGATGAATTATGTGTTGTAAATTAAATATCCACTAGATGTTACCTGCAGTCCACCGTATAGGTAAAGCGTTCAATTCTCGACAATAATGGAAATAATAATGACTCGTGCATTTTTTGATGATAATAATAATAATCTCTGATGGTAAAACGACAACAACAACAAAAATAAAAAAAACCTACCGGTTTAAAATATAGTATATGAATTCACGGAGAAAAAAAAAACGCCAAAACATTGTACATATTAAGTCATATTATGCGCTGTCTTCCGTCTAACGAACGCACGACATAGCGAATTCTATGCAAGGACAACAACTCGTGTCGTTTTTAAATTATGATATTTCACATAGGCACACGTCATATATTATTATCTCGCTTGAAAATTAAAATATCGAAACCACAATCGACTTAGTTACGCGGATAATGTTTTAATCTTTGAGCTTGATATAATAGGTCAGTTTATATTAAAATTGCTGAACGAAAATTTGATATGTTGTGTTTTTTGTAACACGGAAACAGCAATAGACATAATGTAAAATACGCACTGCTCGTTCCTTATACTTTTAAGTGTAGGAGCAGGGCCGTACCCAAGAGAGCTTCCGAGCTCAATCTCCCCACCCCCCTGGGAGATTTTAAAAAACAATCATTTTTAATGTGATTTGAACATCCAATTTAATATCACATTTACTGTATTTTATACAATGATGCCCTTATAGCCCGGCGTCCGATTTGTCCCGGATACAGAGACCGGTCGGTGATTGAAGGGAGTGTGAGACATAATTGGCGGAGTCCCTGTACTTAGATAAGGTAAAGCTATCAGTCTCTTTTAGTTGAAATCTTCAAAATCCTTGTGAAACGCTTAAGTTATTGCCATGGAGACATTTTTAATGAAATTTAAAAAAACCGAATTTATTAATTATTGTTAATTTCTTTAATAGATGTTAGATTAAACGTAAGCAGACTCTGTTTTACTTTATTTTTACTGAGCAGGCATAACGTAACTGAGTAGAATAATATTTTAGGGGGGGGGGGAATTTTTAAATCATTTTTGCATAACATTTTATGATCAAATATGTGTGAGAAATAATCGTTTTGGAAGTCATGTCCCCGTGATAGGTTTCCTGAAAGTTACGTGACGCCAACGCATTACGGCATATTTACTTTCACACTGGTTAGTAAACTATCATGGAGGAGAAATTTAATATATTAAATAATTGTATTTTCCATGAAAGCTATCGGTTCAAACATAGATTTCAAGATACATAATGTTTAACGTTCGGAATACTGGCATGACTGAAAGAAATATTATTCTGGAATAGGTTGGAATAGGTACCAAAGCAAACGATAACTCAGTACCTCGGGCGTAATTAATTTATATTATGGATGTGGGGACATCCATACAGGGAATGGCACTATAGTTTTTGTAAGAATACGTATTTGTATGTTTCTACATTTTTTTTTGATCCTTTTCGTATTTTTAGATTTTTGTTGGTGATATTTTACGAATCATATTTAATACATTAGAAAGTCATGTACAAAATGTTATTTTGCATATTCGGCCGCATATTTGTATACCTGACCGTATCAAATTGTATCATATTATATTTATCGCATATTTCAACGGAAACCATACGCCGTTACGAATAAATTTGTCAATCATCGTCGCCAGAACGTTGACTTTTTTACAGTGTATTTTCATCGTTCGTACTGAATATACGACATATTTTAATACTTTTTAATGTACACAAATCTACGCTCTGGTTATTGTACACATTGTATCAACCGATATTATAAAACTCGAGATATATTGTTTTTTTATATATAAATATATGGATAGTGTACACACTATACACACCGTATAATTATATTATTATTCTTCCGTCGAGTGACCTTTCGTCTCGTCACGTTTCCCTTCAATTTCCGACCGGCGCAAAAACACCACCGAGACCACGTGGGGGGGTTTTTTTTTTTTATTAGAGCAGTATTATAGTAGTATTTCATTTATCGTCTACAAACATATTTGTTTTTTCGTATCGTTTTTTTTTTCGACATCGTTAAGCCTTATTATATCCGCACTGCGCAATGATAATAATAATAATGTGAAATGGCAATGAGGAAAATAAAGGAAGACAGAGAAAAAAAGATGGTGAAAACCGTCCGCTCGTATAGAAGGTATTTTTTTTTTTTTTTAAATTCTAGACGTGCTCGATCTGTTGCAGGAATCAGTTTGACGGCGACTATATACTGTGTATAGGTATGCCGTATAATACATAGCGGGGAAATTTATCGTTTACGATCGATAAACTGGCATGTCCGTAGAATATATTTTGAAAACCGGCTCATTATTTTTGAATCCTGTATAGATACGGGCCTTTACCAACGTAAAGGCTCATAACACAAGTACATACTGTACTAGAACGGAAACGGAAGATCGTATGAAGGTCCGTAAGTTTCCTCGGATGGGTTCATCATTTACACCCTATACGTGTTAAGTAATATTTTTTTTTTTTCAAACCGTTCAAGCTCCTCGGTCTGTATACAATAATCCTATTACAGTCTAAATAAAACCTATACCGTTGAAATGTTCGTGTACTGTCCATAAAGTAAATACAGGGTGTTGTAATATATGTCACATGTGTGTTATATAAACGTTATATAACATTATCATTGTTTATTTGTTTTTATTTTATTTTTTAATCGAGTTTTAGGTCAGTGGAACACATGATATAGAGAGAAAAATAGTTTTTTTCATCCCTTAATCTCTGAAAAACAATTATTTTTTATTTTTTTCACTTTCAAAATTTTCAAAATAATCATTTTGTACAAAATATTATTTTAAACATTTTCATGTACCATGTATTAATATCCGACCAATATTTTCTGAGTAAATAACCGTTTCAATTTCAAGATAACTGTTATCACATCATTTTTTTAGAAATTATTGAATTTTTTTTTCGATGATTAAGTGATAAAAAAAAAAATCCGCTCAGAATGGTTTTTATCGTTAGCAATGATTTATCTTTACTTACAAATATATATTAAATTTTCATCTTTATCCTATGTTCTCAACCTCTTACCTACAATAGTGGCTACATACTTGTCTGAATATAAACACTTTTTAGCATTTTCTTATTTTTAATTTTACTATTTTAGATTCTGATCGAAGCATCTCACTACATATACTAATGTTCGATTCTGAGCAGAACGAGGAATATATTGGTTTCACAATGATGTTATTTTTATTTTTTTTTGTGTAAACAACTATTATACAAGACATTTTTCTTCAATTTTCAAGTGCGAAATTTTTCCTGAAAGGAAATTTGACGGAGGTGATACTTTAAGGAGGGGCCTTTCGTTGATTTTCTCAGTTATCCCTATAAATAGGAAAATCCGGAAGAAAAACAAGAAAATGTACGAAATGTATTATTTTTTAATCGTAAATTTTATGGTCTTTCATAACATGTGTAACCGGGCTCTTCTCAGAATCGTTTTCCGTTAGAAAAGATTCATCGTTGCGTACAGATATATATATGCATTAATTCCCCCTCTTACCTCTATATCTTACCTTTCCAACTTCTCACCTATAACACTGGTCCACTCATCGCGTGGATCTACATCCGTATCTTTTTTATTTGCATTTGAAAGTAAAAGTCGTAAAAAAAAAAACACATTTTAGAACGTGTTGAACCGAACTTGTCAAATATGTGTGTATTTATCATTTTTTATTAACAACTGTTCACAATTTTTAAAAACCACGAGCAGAGGAACCTTAATATTATAACAAAATAAAATCATCGCGAGATATCCCAGTGTATATTATAATATACTAGTACAGCGGCATAATAACAGAAAGCGTATACATTTTTTTCGCTCGAAAACCCGAAAACTAAGTCACGTATTTGGCAAAAATAAAAAACCAATTATGTGTACCCAGATAAAAACGGACACTATAATGTAAAATACGAGTTTTTCTTTTGTTTTCTAATGAAATTTTGTTCCGCGTTATTCAAATCGTTTTTATAATTCTTCTGCAAAAATATGCTATTCGAACAATTCGTTGTATCCTAACAAAAGGTATAGGAACCTATACAAATAAACGATATTGTCCGCGTGATCTTTTTTAATATTAAATATTTCTGCGTCTGAAAGCACGGGAAACACAAGCAGTCTGCAGTATTGAAATAACGAAATACTTCTTCAAATGTAAATATTATTTTCAATTTAAATATAATTATTGTTCTGAAATAACAAAAAACAAAACGATAAAGAAAAACAGAAAAAAATGTTAATTAACATGAAATGCATCCGGGTCAATTAGATATGAATATAATACACGAATTGTTCGGAAAATTTCATTGCACTTTTAATTATTGCGCAATTCAATAATATGCTGTTTGTGATCGAATGATTATGGTCGTTGAATTCAAAAATAATATATTTGTTTGATGTTTATACCGACGGATAATATGATAGGAATTTGAAATCGAACTGCAGTGTCTGTGTTTATTTATTTGCGAATATGATTATTTTTTTTTTTTTTTTTTTTATAATTGGAGGGAAAATTGTTAGAAAACCAGACGTATTTACGTACCGATATATTTCTGTCATTTCCGATTTTATGTTTTCGTTGAAATTCGGTTAATTAAATTTTCCCTGAATAATAATATTCCAGTTCTTCTAGACGTGGCGCAATTTACAAAACGCAATTTTAGTTTTTAGTTATTTACACTGTTTAATGTTTGTAGTCAAATTTCACCATTTAAGATGTTCACTATCATAGCATTATAAAAGTATCAAAAATTCGTTGCCACATTTTTTTTTAAAGAACCTAGGATTATAAAGTTATAAGTTTAATGAAAACCGTATAAATCATGGCATCTTGCATACTGTTTACCGATTAATGTGGAAAAAAATTTGTCGACTCAATAAAAACATTCTAAGCACGATTGTTAACACGAACATTCCTCAGAATTGTTCTTCGTTAATAATAGTTTACTACCATAGTTATATCAATTAAGTTACACGTATATATCTCATGTTCTCAACCTCCCATCTAGAACAGAGGCCTAACCATGACTATGGGCAGTATATCCAATACTAGGAGCGTAGCGACGATGTGTAAAACACCCGTAATGTTCTAGCGTTTCTTTCCTTCCCCCATCCACTGAGATTCTTACTACGCCGATGACTCTTCGGACAATGGCAATTCGGTAACTTAATCGATAAAATGTTTAACCGAAATTCAAACGTTAAACACTTCATAAATGTGGCATGTCGACTGTTTTGATTTTGCATTTAAAATTTTTGTTGCAAAATAAAATTTTGTGATGTCTAACAAATCAATAATTTTCAAACTTTTGAATCCCTCCCTATTTTTTTTTTTTTTTTTTTTTTATTAATTTTATGGGTTATTGTAAAACTGTAATAATCGTCACTGACAAACATAAATTTCACGACATATCAATAAACGAGATGTGACAAAAAATGAACGAGATTTTTTAAATGAAAATGATTTACTTTTAAAATTGTACAATTTAATTATCAACTTTAAAGTAGTTTCCATTAGCAGCTACACACTGTTTCATATATCGCTGTCAATCACTTTCAGTAAGCCCTTTTAGAAGTTCTGCCGTTTTAATTTTGACGTCATAAACCGTTTGAATATGGTTTCCTTTTAATGAACTTTTAATTTTTGGAAATAGGAAGTATTTACAAGGAGAAAAGTCTAGCAAATAGGTGGGTGTTTAAGTACAGAAATATTTTATTCAGAATTTTTAATACAGAATTTTTTCATAATTTAATTTTCAAATAAAATTCTACGAACACATTCTCTATCAAAATTAACCATCTATGCTATAGAACTTTGTATTTTGTACCTACCTATTAATTTAAGCTATATTTGAAATAAACGTTAATCGAAAATACGTTGACTTGAAAAGTCATTGTAATGTGCCTCCCCATTAAATACTCTGGGATGTATCAAAATTAACCACTGTTACTCTCTATTTCTCAAAATAAACTTGCATTTTAAAAGAATAAAAAAAAAAAAAGGTGGATATGAACTTTTAATCTTTAAAAAAAGTGTTTGATATATACTCTCTAATCAGATCATATTAGCAACTTCAATGATTGAAAAAAACCAAATAAAAATATCTCAACTTTGAACTGATCAATATTTTGAAAGATAATTAGAAGAATTAATATTAAATTTCAGTTTAGAACAAGGTGAAGAAAGGTGATGATTTTATACCACTTCCAATATCTCGAATACGTAAAAAGAACATAATGCCTGGGGAACTTACAAATGATGAATTAATTTTAGATCCAATTAGAAACATGATAATCGGTACATTTTTTTTTTTTGTATTATATTTAATATAAAGCCAAAACATTATTATAACTGAACGTTTCAATGATCTATTGGTTCATAGGTAAATCTTATAAATTGGTAAATCTATCGGTGTACTAAACGATTTATCACTTCTCACGCGTAAAGTTATTTATAAAGTATTTCAACATCTTATAATTTTGCCCAAGATAGTTTTAAGTTTATCTTATGAAGATGTATGGACAATTTATTGAGAGTATTTTTAACTTTCAGAGTACTCGCAGTTTGTTTCAATTTTTAATAATCTTTATAATACCTCTGGTGATTAATTAAACGTGTTGAATGGAAAATACAAAGAGAATATCTCTTATACTTGGAAGTGAATCTGAGCAGACTGAACCTGAAAGTGATGAAGAAGATAATATCTAGTACTTGATACAGAAAATCAACAGTAAGGCAATTCAATCAAAATACGAATTTAAAAAAACAGTTCTGGAAGTTTGTTGCCAGTATCTACAAAGAAAGGCTTAATATTTGTATTTTCTTACTTATGTAAAATGCGTAAGATAGGATTTACTTTACCAGTACCTAGTGCTAATCCCGAAAGAGCCTTTTCCAAGCTTAAATTAGTTAAGAATCGACTTCGTTCTACCATGGGAAAAGAAAGACTACAAGGGTTAATGGAAATATCGTTGATAACTTTGCATCTATAAGTCCTCATTTGCTAAAAGCATTACCATTATAAGAAGTTTTCATATTTTTAAGAATTATTAAATATTGAATTGAAAGGTTTTTTATTTAGTTCTTAGTTTCTCCGCGTTTCTTGTTATTCTTGCAGTGCAAGAAACATACTATTATGCTTAATTTTAATGTTAAAAAATGATATATATATATTTTAATATTTTATGTACTTAAATAGTTTATAGTTAATGGTTGTAATAAATATTTAAGTGAATATACAACAAGTAAAATAAATGAAAACAAACACTATATTAATTATTTTCAAAGCATCCACCACAATGCCATCAAATTATTATAATTAATTAACTTTGAGTTTGTTGTGTGTACGCCTATAATGACTAAAATATTTTTTACTATGTGGTTGACTTTTTCAATAAATAGCTCACTATATATGAATATTAATAGTTATGTACGAGGTACAATTAGTGATGGTATTAGTTGATGGGGTGGTGTGTAAGAAAACATGTAAGTTCTACTAATTTTGAAACCTGTGAGCACCACTGACGCTGTGGTAATTAGTTAACTTTATTTTTAAGTTACTATAGTTTACAAAAGTGATTTTTTACTTCAAATGTTTCTATGTTTGGCGAAATAAACGCGAAAAATATCAGGAGCGTATACGAGGGGAGGGGCGCGATAGAGGCGATCGTCCCCGTTGGGCATTGTTGAATTTGTTTCTAATTAGGTATCTAATTATTTTACCATTATTAATCAAAAATTTAAAAAAAGTTAATTTTTTTGTGTGAAAATGGTTATTAAAAGCTATTATCAACATATTATATGCCTATTAATCACGGACTAAATTTACCATTTAATTTGACATAAAGCATTGAGAATATTGCTTACCTAGTATAATAATAATAAGCTATGAATATTTTGGTACCTATCAATACAATAAAACATCTATAGTTTTTTAATTTCATAATAGTTCTGAAAACTGGCATTTCATCTTCCAATTCGTATAAAACAACGGTATTTTTATACTGTATAAATAAATGGGGGGGGGATTTATTTCTCATACCCCCGCCGACAATTACGCCCCTGTTTCTAACAGTCATATATGTCGGTTTTTTTTCGTTACACTGTAACCCAATTTTCGTCTAATTTAAGAAACAAAATTTGACTAGTACGCATTTCATTATTTACATAACGACCCGGTATTTTCGCGCGAGAAATATGTGAGGCCGACCACTCGCGTATAGTCAATGGCATTATTATCGGTAAATACCATATTTGAAGTTTATTCCGATTCAATATTGGCCCGCCGACTTATGGAAATCTATAAACGCGCTTAGCCCTCGGCGAATCAAACTATTTGTTGTTTGTACAGTGGCGAGGGACATTGAAAACTGCGATAAGCACTAGGTCCAGTCTCTTATAGGGCCGCCCGGTAAAAATTCCTCAAAATACGCTCAGAACATTGCCGAGTTCTTGTTGGTATTTTAACCCGACCACCGAATTTCACACGGGTTTTTTATTTTATTTTTTTTTATCCCGACCGCATTAATTTTCGACCGGATAACTACCGCACCCGCACGTGCATGTCTGTTATCTAGACCGCAGCATTTACCGGTTACCTACCTACAATAAAATTCTAATCATATTTATCGTCTTGCATACGAATAAAAACCGTGTCCAAAACTATCTGCTACGTCATAAAAAAAATAAAATAAATGCGGTGATAATTAAAGAATAAACAGAAAATCGTCTATTCCCGTAGAATAAAAAATATACTATTATTGTCTTTGAATATTTTGTTTGAAATATTTTATATTATTTGAAAACGTATTTTAAACCCGATTCGTCGGTAATTTTGTTACCAGGTTTTCAATTTTAATATTGATTCAATATTGAAAAATGTTGCCCTCTCCCAACCCCCCCCCCAAAAAAAAAAAATCCTATATCTGTCACTGGTGGGCGGGATTGAATATAATATTATCATTATCGTATACATGGTTTTTTTTTTTTTTTCATAATATACCTCTGAAGAATTTCAAACATTTAATAATTTTTATGTCTTTAAAAAACATAACGGTTTTTCGAAAGTATAAATTTCGGACAACACACGGCGCGCTACGTTTTATGCGTATGCCTATCTATAAGGACGCAATAAACCACAAGGGCGGTATATATATATTGTGTACGTATATTGTTTTTTCGATATTTTTGTTTTCTTTTGTCTTTTCATATCGTACGGTCGTAGCATACATTACCCTCTAGTTCGGATTCTAAAATAGGACCGGGGGAAAAAAAAAACGTCCGCTCCCAATGACTTGGCTATAGAATATTGAATTTCGGGAAAGACAGCGGGGGCCGGTAATAACACAAATATAATAAAAGGCAAAAGGGTTTGTTCGGAAAACGAATTGTAGCGAGTACGTTAAACACGGAAGCACGCACGGAACGATTATGTACCTATTGTATAGAATAGCGGTGAGAACGAAATCGGTTCGTTGTTTTTAAATGTTACGCACAGGACACGGAATAATACGGTTTTCATTATCGTTCACGGTTGCATAATGAAAATGACTAATCAATACATTATGTTAATAGCAATAGTAATAATAATAATAATACGCGTTGCCGTAGATACCGGATTCTGAGTGTTTCGTTTTACTAAGACACGAGTGCATATTATTTTTTCCCCGCGAAATCAATTTTTCGGTTAGTAAATACACGCCTCCGAATTGTTCGCGTAGTACCCGCGGGATTTTTCATTCGGAAATACTTTATTTGAATTAAATTTCGAAATTTCGAAATCCGCTTGCACAACTGCGGCCATGACGCTGAATAATAAGTCAAGACTAAATCCTTAAATTTAGTCTTATATAACTCAGTATCGTATTGATAAAATGTACCCGCATAAAAAAAAAAAAAAAAAAAA